AGTCCATGAAAATTTGGAAGTCTGTTCTACATTTTACCCCTTTTGATCAGGATTCTTTTATGGAATCTCTGATCAAAATGCTCAGTAAAGGTAGCAGGGTACCATCCAGTTCTTCTGGTCTCGTGGCAAAGGAGGCAGTTGTTCAAGGAGGCAATTAGCCACACATTCAATATCCTCCTCCTATTTCTCATGTTGTAGGAGCTCTGGTAGCATAGTGTCTAAGGCACTTGACTGCTAACCAGAAGGCTGGCAGTTCAAACCCACCAGCCACTCCTCCGAAGGAAGGTTGGGCAATCCTACTTCCGTAGTGATACTGCCTGGGAAACCCAAGGAGGGGTTGCTATGAGTCTGAGTCGGGCCGGCTGGATGTCAAATAACAACAACAACAACATTTCTCATGTTCCTTCTTCCTCTGTTGTTCCAGGTGAATAGAGGTCAATCTTGTGCCTTGGATGGCTGTTTACAGGCTTTTAAGGCCCTAGGCACTACACAATGAACTAGGAGGTAGAACAGAAGCACTAAATGTGTTATTAAGCCAATTAACTGGTATATCCCTTGAGACTATGACCTTGAACTTCCAAATCAAGGAATCAAGTCCCATGAAGTGTTTGGTTATACATAAGTAGCCTCAGCAGCTTTTTTTTTTTTCTTTTCTTTTTTTTGTCATTGTCAATATATCTATCAGATAACTTTTGTCAAGTTAATTCTTTACAGGGGTACAACTTATTGACAGCAATTTGAGTAATTGGCTGAGCAATCCTATCCTTAATTCCATTTTTCTGTTCACTCCCCCTCCACACACACTTTCTCTTGTGGTAAGTATATAGGTAACAGAACACTTGCCATTTACAATCTTCTGTTGTATATAGTCCAGTGACATTAATTACATTCATCATAGGCATGAAATGGTGAGGTGCCTAAGGCATTTAACTGCTAACTAGAAGGTAGAAGGTTAGAGGTTCAAACCCCCCAGCCACTCCACAGAAGGAAGACGGGGCAATCTATTTCTGTAAAGATTTATGGCTTCGGAAACCCAATGGGAGTCACTATGAGTCGGAATCGACTGGATGTCAGTGGGTTTGTGCTCCTTAGGAGCTGTGTGACTATAGGCTACTTACTTTGCCTGTTCCAAGCCTCGTGATATACAAAGTAGGGTATCTCCCAAATGCCGGTATCTCAACGCTGATGTAGGCTGGCCTGAGGTAATGAGTGGAAACTACTCAGTTAATAGTAAATCTTATTCAGGAAGCCTGGTGGATGCTTTAGGCGTGTTATCTTTAATCTGAACAATGAAGCTGTCAGAGATAGGGCACTGCCTCTCAGAGAGGGAGACTGAGGTGGCCTCCGGGTCTTTCATTCAAGCATTCACTGGGGACCAAATGTGTGCCAGGCTTTGGGAACTGAGAGGTAATAGGGTCAGCCTGGAGTAGAGAACTGAAGTTGGGGTTCCTATCGCTGCTCTGCCTCTTCCTTGCTGTGTTCACCTTAATTAAGTTACTTGGCCTCTCTGCGTCTTTTTCCTCTGTTAAACCAGAAGAATGGTACACGCCCGTGCTGGGCTGTGATGAGGATTAGAGAAAATTAAGGTAAAATGGAACCTGGCACATGGTAGGCGACTTGCTAACAACAGAAAACAGTATCCTCCCTCTTTTTACAGTGTCCATAGATCCCTTTTCAATCTATGGCCAAATTGCTTTCACTCTCTAATGACTAATGGATTGGCAGGCTGGTCTCAGCTTTTGTCCTGGCCACCAGAACAGCTCACTCCCAGCAGACTTGACAGGCAATTTCCTCAGAATTACCTTAATAATACCTCGTAGGTGTGTGATGCATTTCAAAGAACTTTCCCACCATTATCTCCTTCCGGGGAGGTAGTGGTCCAAGAACCAACAGCTGCAGGTTAAGAGAGGTGTAAGAAGCTCAGAGGTGAAGTGGTTTGTTCAAGGTCAAATGGCAGATGAGTGATGCAGCTCTTTTGAGCACTCCACAGTCCTGCAGCTTTTCAGCAAGCAAGAGGCAGCATGCTGTAGCAGAAAGGGTACAGGATGTGACAGCCAATAACTTGAGTTCAGTGTCTGACGATATTGCAGTTAGCACTGTAATATGGGGCTAGTGAGTGCTTGCCCAGGATGGGTTCCTTTCTACAGATTCAGAAACTGAGGCTTCAGAGAGGCAGCCTCTAGCCTGTGGTTACATAGCTAGGAGGCACAGCAGAGATTCACACTGTGTGGCTGTCTCCAGAATTAGCACAACACAGCTAACAAACAATCCAAGTTAGGGTCAGTCTGGGTCTTAGGGTTTAGGGCAAGGATTCTCTGTGGGCAGGGGAAGAGACGTGCTAAACCGAAAACCAAACCAAACTCACTGCCATCAAGTCGATTCTGACTCATAGCCACCCGCTCTGAGTTTCTGAGGTGGTAAATCTTTATGGAAGTAGATTGCCCCATCTTCCTTCAGTGGAGTAGCTGGTGGGCTTGAGCCTTCAACCTTCTCGTTAGCAGTCAGTCGTCTGCAAAGCTGGGTGCCTTTGTGTTTTCTGGAGTGTTCCTATCTTCCATCTGACCATCAAAGGAGACTAGTACCTACAACAGGTTAAGAATTGCTGGTCAGGCTGGGAGGATGGTCGACAAAGACAGAGGCTGCACCCCTCCTGTACCTGTTCACCCCAGAAAGCTCACCAGGATTGAGGTATGAAGGGTGGTGACGTGACCTGTTTGTTATGAAATATAGCAGTCATTTCTGCCAGGGGCCAACATACAGATGAGATCATATCATAAACAGGAATCCAATGAGACCAGGCGCCTGGTGGAGCCCACCTGGGAAGCCACCCAGTCACGGGAAGCAGCGAGGGATGGCACAGACTGGGGTTCTGTCCTTTGCCCCACTTCTAGACCTGACCCACAGAGTGGTCAGTTCCAGGCCCTGCTTCTAGTTACTGGTACTGGAGTTGAGGTCCATATCCCATTTCTGCCTTTTAAGGGGTTATAAAGCACCTAACCCAGAGAGCTTGTTTCCCATTTTTGAAATATGGACAAATATGGTTACACTGTATATACTCCAGGTGAATGTATGGTAGGAATAAAGTAGAACAAGTGAGTGCTACGGGGGCTCTTCTTTGAAGTCCCAGCCCAGAGTTAGCATTAGAAATGAGTACTTCCCAACCAGCACTCAAATCTTTCTCATTAAACTCGTCTGGAAATCGAGCCAAGAGACTCCTCTCTTCTACTTTGGCATACAATTAAGTTTGACCAGAGAGCACCACAAGGGAAATGAAAACAAGCCCAGTGACCAGTTTATACAGCTCTGAAGTGGGTCTATCAACTACTACTCGAGTAGGCCAAAAACCAAACAAACTCCATGCCATCAAGTCGATTTTGACTCATAGCAACTCCTCCTTTGGTTTCCGACATAAATAGATTGCCCAACCTGCCTTCAGAGGAGTGAGCGGTTGGTGGGTTTGAACCACCAGCCTTCTGGTTAACAGTCAAATGCCTTAGGCACCGAACTCCTGAGTATGCCAGATGAGCCAAACTAGAGGTTCCAGTCTTGCCACCGCCTCTGCTATAGTCGTCCTATTAATGACATCAATAAAAACAGCCATGTGCTAGCACGGTCAATAGTTCTCAAGGGACATAAGCCTACTCAAGCAACCCGGGTTCCAGTGGGCTCCCTATTTGCTGAGTGACCTTGTGCCAATCACTTCCCCTGTCACCTATAAAATGGGACAGAGGCAGGACCCGCCTCTTCTGTACCCACCCATTAACCCTTTCCAGCCCCCCATGCCAGCTTCAACCTGTAGCTTTTTCCCCCCATCTCCCTTGTGAGTGAAATTTCTATGGAAGGCATGTATTTCTTTTCCTAAATTTAGCCTGTGTGAAACAAATTAATACTTAAAGGAATGGAAAAGAAGAGTATCCAATCATGACAGACAATAGTGTTTAAAAACAGTTTTATTATGCAAAATGTTAACTTTTATAAAAAGTTTTAATATACATCGCATGGTTACAGAAAGTCATCTTCCTGTAAAAATGGTACAAAAGCTATATACTCTATAAGAGTTCATAATCAGGGCAAGAGCCTTTCTCCAAGGAGACCAGAAGACCAGCTCTAATGCAGCCTTGGCAGTTCGGAGAGCAGCCTCTCCCCCCCCCCCCGCCCGCCTTTACACCTCCATACTCTGAAAAATCAGTCTTTAAACTTGGGGGTGGGGACAGAGTGCGTTGCCCAGCTGGTGCCCAGAACTCCCTCTGGCTTTTCAGGCCACCCAAGTTCACACAGTCCTTCGCTCCTGGGATGCCAAATCCAGCTTTGAGGCAGGAGTTTAAGGGAGTCAAGTGGGCAGGGCACAGTTGGGGCCCATCCATGCCCTCGCGCTTCCGGCGGAGAGGGTCCCGGGTCCCAGGCGGAACGGGCGCCAGCACCTGCGTTCTGGGTGGGGGAGAGGGAAGAAGCACGGGGAGCCGTCAGTTTCCGCCGAGCGCGCCGAGGCGGGGGCAGTCCGCAGACTGGCCGGCGCCAGGGAGGAAACTCAGTCTCTACCTCCAGCTGATAACTCCGCGCCCCACGCTGTCCCCACCCAGTTGGCGCCAAAGGACCACAGGCGGAGCCTGCACCACCCCCCGCCCCTCGGAACAGACACTAGTTGGGAGGGGGTTTAGGAAGACCGTTCCACAGCTCCCTTTCCGACCGGACAGAAAGCAATTTTCTTCAGTCGGACCCGTGTCTACTTTCTCCAAACTTTAGCCACGGGAGCAGAGTAAACGCAACCAGTGTTTAATGCTGGGATGCGCGTTATCTGAAAACTAGTTTCACTATTCATTTGATGTAACGGATGGGCAAGTCGGTTACTCCTCTCTGATCTCAGTTTCCCTGAAACAAGGGGCGACAATTCCTTTCAGGGGCTTGCTAACTCTTAGGATTTGTCGCTTAAGTGCCGCCCTCCCTCCGGACATCCTAGGAGGAGGGAATTATACACACCTGGAGGCGCCAGGACAGCCTGGTCAGTGGCAAAAGCTCCTCTTGTCGTTGGCGATCACAAGTTCTGGAGTAAGCTCGGCTGTCTGGGAAGAGAAAAAGGGAGAGTTACGCATGTCCCGTAGGATTTCTGGGGATTCCGCAGCATCCCGGTACCGGTGATCAGCCCCTCCCAGGCTCCCGAGCACGCCCACACGCACCTGGATGGCGAGATGCGGGCCGTCTGGGGGTCCGGGTGCCGGTTCCGCAAGGACCACTTGAAGGTCGAGGATGTAGTCGATGACGCGCTGCAGGATTTCCACCTGGCTAAGCTGAGTGCCTCGCGGGACTCCGGGTACCAATTCCCGTAGACGTGAATAGCAGTGATTCATGTCGTCCAGCAGGCTTAGCGGCTCCTCGGCTGCCGGGCCCTTGCCGCGGCCCCGCGCGATGGCCAAGCTGCGCTCCGAAAGGCAGCACACCGCCTCGTAGCAGCCACGCACTGGGCTCAGCGCTTTCATGTTGGATCGTGAAAATACAGGTACTGCTAAGCCAAAAAAGTAACAAGAACCTCCAAGGCTGCTTCTAACGCGCGTACGCCCCCCGGCTTCTAGCTTTTATAGAGCCCTCGTTGGTCACACGCCCCTTTATGCAAAAATGTCCGCCCTGGTCCCGCCTCCGCCAACCCTGGGCGTTCACAAGGCGGTTAAATTGCAAACAGGCTTCCTCCGGCTGGTCTAACGCCGAATACCGCGGATTCAAAGAATGAGGAAGCGCTGATACTAGGGAGAGGCGGGCCTCTTCTCTAGCAAGTATTTAAAAAATCACTTAAAACTGTTAACTTTAAGAATTTCTTTTCCTGGCAGCGTCCCAGATCTCTGAGCTGCCCCCTTGCCAGTCTACCCTTAGCCCCAACACTGGTTCGAACCCACGGCTCCTCCGAGGTCATAAATCCCTGAACAGCAAAGCTTTTTTTTTTTTTTCACCCAAAAGATTTTTTCAAGGGAAACTTGTAAGGAATTAGTGCCGCCTTGTTCCCCAATTTGCTGTTCATCTGACCTCCAGACTCACTGGCGTCAGGAATTATCTTGTGACCAGAGGAAAAAAAAATTAATTGCGGTGAAGCTGAGGTTACAATGAAGAAAACAGATTTGGGCTAGGCGCTGAGATTGCAGAAGGAGGAGGGGAAAAGCGTTGGAGCAAAGAACACTATTTATTTGAGCAACAAGGGAAAAGGAAAAAATAAAAAGAGCAAGCAGGCTGAATTCATGCTTTTTGCATGGAGAAAAGAAAGCTGCTTCTCTGGTTTCTTACATTCAAGAAGCCAAATATATGCCCAGTTGTGTGGAAGCAAATATGATTAGTATTTTAGACAGTGTTTAATGTGGGAGGACAGAGGGGCAATTTCTAGATAAACATTTTTAGGAGCCTGCATGCCTGACAGTGAATCTTGAAACTCTTGCTTCCACTCTTGCTTCCCCTCTACTTCCCCACTCTTCATCACCTCTGCATAGGAAACAATAGTTCGGTAATTTCATTGCGCTATTGTCTGTCCCTTTCTGCCATGGAAGGTCAGGCCACCTGGGCTTGATTATTCTTAGCCTTGCTGAAATAGCTCAGCTCTATCTTAGAGCCCAGGGAAGGGACCAATTTAAGCCCTGTGGACATTGCACTCAGTGTTCTTTGTTTATCCTCTTGTCACTTCCTAGGCCTTTTGGGAATTCGCAGCCCCAGGGAGCTGGTTTCCATCTTGGAACTGACCGAATAGGATCCCTCAATGGTTGCTTCCTTAATCAAGAAGTTGGTAAATATTTATGAAGTTGCTTCACATGAAATGTGGCTTCTGCTCTGAAAAGATTACACAATTTGGGGAGACAAGATTACTACAGGAAACAAGAGTTCAATAATGTTTGACACTGATTAACAGGACAATGGGCACTCAGAGCTAGGACAGTCTCAAAACAGTTGTAAGTGGAAAGAAGACTGGAATGGGAGTGGGGAGACTTGGGTTCAGCATTCCAGCTCTATCAATACTTGGTTGTGTGATCTTGTTGCCATGTTGGTAAAATGGGGAAGCTGATGCTGAGTGATCATTTTCAATCCTTTCCAACGCTAGAAAGGCGTAATGAAATTTGGACAGGCAGATGTGGAGTGGCAGGGTCCACAGAAGGTGTCTAATATCACACCATAAGTAATATCAGAGCCATCCTTGAAACCTTGTTCTTTTCCATCACAGCACAGGGCTCTGTGTCTTGAGAAGGAGGTCTTTGAAGGGTTTCTTCTTGGGATATAGATTTTGCAAGGACATACTCTTCCAGTGTCTTAGGAGGAAAAAATAACCTGTGCATGAATGGGTCAATCTATATGGTACATGAGTCAAGTGATGAGAGTGGGAACTATCAGGTCATAGGAAGGGAAAATGGTGGTTATGGAGACTAAACGACCAAATATAAGACTCTTTTTCATGTAGACTTTCATGGGCTGTGCAGAATAGTCAAGTCCAGTGGGCTCTTGAAATATCATTGCCTTCAGGGCCAGGTAGATTTATGTTCAAACCCCCAACCTTCCCTTTTACTGTGTGACCTTTGGGTAAGTTGCCTCTCTGTGCCTCCATCTATAAAATGGAACTATTTAGACCTATCTAATTCATTCAACAAAAAAAAAAACATTTATTAAATGCCCCTTTTGTGCAAGGCACCAGACAGGCACTCTCCATCTTAGCATCTTTGCCACCTGAGGGCACAGCATGGGACCAGTCCAGTTCTCCCTCCTTTCGCCCTACACTATTACTATTTTAAGGCACTCTGGTTGCACAATGGTTAAGCCCTGGGCTACTGGCTGCTAACTGAAAGGCTGGCTGTTTGAACCCACCCTGAGGCTCCGCTGAAGAAAAGACCTGGCATTTGCTTCTGTAAAGATTACAGACTAGCAAACCCTATGGGGGCAGTTCTACTCTGTCATATAGGGTTGCTATGAGTTGGAACAGACTCCATGGCAACTAACATTAGTATTTTACCATTGATGCCTCAGGTTTGTCTGTCGGTTTATAGTTTGCAAAGCACCTTCACGTTCACTATTTCACAAAGAAATGCCCATGAGCCATGTGGCATAAGTAGGAAAAGGATACAGTGGGATCAACAACCAGAATTCAGTCCCAGCCATGCCAATAGCTTGCAGTATGGCCTGGGACAAATTTCCTAGGCTTTGTTTTCTGTAAAATAAGGGTAAGGGACTGGAGAGCAAATGATCTGTAAGGATCCTTTCCAATCCAAGATTCTGATTCTGTCAAAGAAGCAGGTTAGGGTTGGCAATACTGACTAGTTGAAAGTCGGGAGACTCTTTTTCCCAGCAGCGGACAGAGCAGGCTAGCTCAGGCCTTCTGCAACTTGTTTAGCGGCGGCGGGGCCTCAGCCTCTTATTCCAAATGCCTCTGAACTTTCTGTTCCCAGTTCTGCTCCTTTTACCAGCTTTTTTCCCCCCTCTTGCATTTTTTATTTTTATGAAAGGATGTCATTAAGGCTTTTGTCTGCGCTGTTTTTGTTTCAGAACTTTTCTCACAATCCTATTTTTTGTTGAGGAATCCGCTCCTTTGCCCAGCTGTGGGTCCCGGTCCCACAGCTGTGTTGATCTAAGACTCAGCCCCAGACAGCCTGGCGCCAGGGTGGGACGTCATGCGTTCACACAGGGATGCGTGTCCCAGGCAACCTTTCCTCGGGCAGTCACCGGCCGGCGACTGCCGCCCCCACCAATGAGCGGCCGACACTCGAGAAAGGGGCGGGGCCTGCGCCGCTCCGGCAGGCGAGCGGCTCGTGAATTGCAGATGCTGAGAACTTGATAACGCTCCTTGCTTTTGGGCCCCTTAAAGTCTTTTATTCCACCTTTTTTAGATCTTTTTTTTCTTTCTTGCATTCATTCCCGTTTTCTTTCTTTATAACATATTCCTTTACCTAGTATGTATATAATTTTTCATTCTCTTTTTTTAACTATCTCTTCCCAGTATCAAGAATCATTTTGTAAGCATTTCCAGGAACTGAATCTTCCTTTGCCAAAATTAAAAAAAAAAAAATTAAATGTTACGCTTTCTGATTTCTGAAAAGTTGGCAAAACTATTAGGTTAATACTGTTATTTTTCCCTTTAATTAAAAAAAAAAAAAAAATGGTAGGAGTCCCTGAGCTGTCGATTTCAAACCGAGAAATGATGATGAGTGTTGCAGATGTCTTTTTTGCCTCTAGCTAGCTAGCTAGCTACCTACCTACCTATCAGCTTTTCCCATTTATGGAAATAAGGGGTCAAGGGAACCTCAGAAACTTGCCCAAGGTCATACGGGATGTCATTGGCAGACCTGTGGCCCAGATCCAGTCATCCCCCTTCCCGGGACTCCCTCCCGGACTCCCTGTGGGCTCTGGCCCCTAACTCTCATTAGCATTAGGGTGCTTTGCTGTGGTCTCAGAACATCCCTACATGCTGCATTTCCTATCATGTACTTGTTTGCTCACAAGGGGCCTGTAAAAGTGTGCTGAGGACCTCCCTGCTATATGCAAAGAACATGTCCTTTGTCCTTAACCCCTCACCTAGGCTGGACCCCAGATTACTGCTTGAGAGTCAGTTGATACAAGGAAAGCACAGAGGATTGAGAATCAAGATGAGGCTCATATCCTTGAGTGGGCTATCTACCCTCACTCTGCCTCAGTTGTCTCATCTGTAAAATGGGGAAGAAATTGATATCCACCTACCTCACCAGTGGGATCAAAGAAGACAAGGGATAGAAAATGCTGTGTGAACAGTTATTTTTAGGAGCTGCAATATGGTGTTGCCCTGGGCAGTGGTGGGAATGGTGCCAGGTGAGTTGGAGGTTCTTGATAAGGTTCTTCTCAGGAATGTGAGGAATATTGTGTGGGGAGTGTCAGCAGCATCTGGATCAAATGCATGAGTCCTTTTGTTGTTGTTGTGTGCCAGCAAGGTGATTCCAACTCAGCAACACTGTATGCATAGGGTTTCCTAGGCTGGGAGCTCTGGTGTTGTAGTGCCTAAGGCATTTTGACTTAGGTGACTAGAAGGCTGGCAGTTCAAACCCACCAGCCACTCTTCGGAAGGAAGGTTGGGCAATCTACTTCCGTAGTGATCCCTCCTCGGAAACCCAAGGACGGGTCGCTATGAGTCGAGATCGACTTGACGCCAGTGAGTTTTTTTTTTTTTAATCTTTACAGGAGCAGGTTGCCAGGTCTTTTTTCTTTTCCTTTTTTTTTGTCAGTTTACTAATTTCCAGGTCTTTTTTCTTATGGAGCCACTGGGTGGGTTCAAACTGCCAACCTTTCAGTTTGCAGCCAAGTGCTTAACCATTGTCCCACCATGGCTCCTATAAATCCTTATAAAACCAAGCTCACTGCCATTGGGTCAATTCCGAATCATAGTGACGCTCTTTGGGTTTGCTAGGCGGTAAATCTTTACAGAAGTAGATTGCCAATCTTTCTTCTGCAGAGTGGCTGGTGGGTTTGAACCGACAGCCTTCTGGTTAGCAGT